CTCCCTCCCTCCCTCCCTCCCTCCCTCCCTCCCTCCCTCCCTCCCTCCCTCCCTCCCTCCCTCCCTCCCTCCCTCTCCTCCCCCTCCTCATTAGACGGTCTTGATTCTCCTTGCCTCCTCCTCCCTCTAACCTTCCTTTGACTGGAGTACGATACAGTGACCAGGAGGACCTGTACGGTCGGTCTTCCAGGGATCATTCTCTTCCTCCTCCTCCTCCTCCTCCTCTATCATAGTCGGGGGCTCAGCATGTCGTCTAGCGTCGCTACTACTAGCTAGATTGCCTTCATTGTCGCCTCTCACAACAAAACATATTAAAAACCGAAATGCACAAAATGACAGACCGTTGTTGATGTCAGTACAACGTTACGTTTCGCACTGCAAGTTCGTAACCGTTCAATTTTTCGTAACGGTGCGTAACCGTGGTCGGCACATAAGCAGAATTGCAGGAGCGGGGGTGGGGGTTCTTTAAGGAAGGGTGGGTGGGTACTTCGGAACAAGGATTTGTATGAAGTCAGAGGGTTCAGGCAGTGGGGGTGGGGTGGGAGACAATTTTTCTTCAACAGTGGGTAGGGGTAGGAGGGTCGATAGGGTATAAGGGATCATGGAGGCGAAATGGAAGGACAAGGGAAGGGAAGAAGAGAGGAGCAGCGTCTTCTGACGAGTCTGTAAGCGCTCGAGCATTTCTTGCTAGGACTTATCTACTCCGTGTTCGTTTCATTCTGTTGTCCCTCTCCCTCCCCTTTCCATTTCTTCCTTTGCACAGCAGTAAGCCGAGAACCCTTCGAGACGCTTCTCCGAGTGTGCAGCCATGGTGCACGTTCAGGGTTCATGCTTCCTCCCCACACCATCGCATTCTTGTTACCATCGATTGCATGCCCCGACGAATCGTCACTCGTTGTGCCTGAAGCCCTTCAAGAGAGCTCGACACCTTGTACTAGGATCATCAATGGCGCTGCCCCCTGAACTGCAAGCGCTGTCTGGGCAGGTCTGCAAATATGTTGACTGTCAGGGCCTCGGCAAGAGCATTCAAGATCAGCAGCGCATGTTGTCTAAATTGTCGGGGAGTGACTGGGCCTCGCTGTCAAAGCAGATGCAACAGGAGGCAGCGGCAGCGGTGGACGGAGTGGTGAAGGTCGTGGAAGCAAACCCCGCAGCCTTCCTGTCCGTCGGGGCCGTCCTGCTGCTGTCTGTCGCTGCTGTCGCCTCTCGTCGTCCCTCCATGACAACTCCCTACCCTTCCGGGGTTTACGACAAGGACACAGCCGCGGAGTACTTCAGAGAGAGGCCCGTGCTGTTCTTTTCGAGGGGCGCGCAGATCGCCATGGCTGCTCTTGGCTTCGGCGTGTCGGTCGGGCTGGACCTGCTGATGAACAAGTATGAGGAGAACGAGGGGAAGCGGGCGGACCAGGCGACGACCATCCTGACGGAGCTCGGGCCCACGTTCATCAAGATTGGACAGTCACTATCCATTCGCTCCGACCTTCTCTCTCCCGAGTACCTGCGGGCGCTGACGCAGCTGCAAGACAAGGTGCCTGAGTTCTCGACAGAGACGGCGATTGAGATCATCAAGGGGGAGCTGGGGAGAGACGTCTCCTCGGTCTACGACAACTTCGATCGCCCCATCGCAGCAGCGAGCTTGGGTCAGGTGTACAGGGCAAGGCTCAAGGACGGGAGGGAGGTGGCAGTGAAGGTGCAGAGGCCGAACATCTTGGAGAGGATTGCTCTCGATATGCATCTGATCCGTGAATCTGCTCCCCTGCTGAAGAAGCTCGGAGCTCCCGGGGACATCGAGGGGCTGGTGGACGACTGGGGTTTTGGTTTCGTCAACGAGCTGGACTACAGGAAGGAGGGAGAGAATGCGGAAGCTTTCATGGAATCGATCAGCAAGACTCCTCTGGTGTTACTCGCCTCTTTCTCTAGTCCCCGCTGATCCTCCTCTTGCTCCTGCTCCTGTTTGCTCTTGCGCTCCTGCTCTTCTGCCCCTGCCTCGCTTGCCCCTCCTCCTTCTGTTGCTGCCTCTCCTCCTCCTCCTCCTCCTCCTCCTCCTCCTCCTCCTCCTCCTCCTCCTCCTTCTCTTGCTCTTCCTCCTCCGCTGCCTATCCCTCACTTGCTGCTGCAGGCCAAGGTCCTCCTCCTCCTCCTTTCTCCTCTTCTTCCTCCTCCTCCTCCTCCTCCTCCTTTCTCCTCTTCTTCTTCCTCCTCCTCCTCATTCCTCTTCCTCCTCCTCCTCCTCCTCCTCCTCCTTTCTCCTCTTCATTCCTGCTCCTGCTCCTGCTCCTCCTCGTTGTCGCTTCACTTGTTCATTGTTTTCTTCATCTTTCCTCTTTGCCATCTTGTTTCGTTTACTCGTCCGATTGATTCCCTTCCCACTTCCTCCTTCCTCCTCCACCCCCTCTCTCCTCCTCACACTCTCCGCAGGTGGTAGCTGGCGTGTACACGAGGCTCATGGCAGGAGGGGGAGCGGCGAACATCGACGTCAACGCCGTGTTCTCCGAGCTGCAGGACCTGACGGAGAAGTACGGGAACTTGTTTCAGATCCCCCCCTACTTCGCCTACATCGCCAGAGCGTTTGGAGTGCTGGAGGGCATCGGGCTCAGCAACAACCCCAAGTACGCGATCATCAGCGAGTGTCTGCCCTACATCAGCCAGCGGCTCCTGACCGACACAAACCCGCGCACTGCCGGGGCCCTCAACACGTTCATCTTCGGGGCAGATAAGGACAAGGGTGAGAGGAGGAGGGGGGGAGAGAGGAGGGGAAGGGAGGAGAAAAGGGTCAGGAGAAGAGGGAGAGGGAGGAGAGCAAAACCATGAAGTTTGGTAGTTGGGGGACAGGGAGGGGGTGGAAAGAAGGGGAGGAGATGGGAGCCAAGAAGTCTGTCTTGTCTTGTCTTGTCTTGTCTTGTCTTGTCTTGTCTTGTCTTGTCTTGTCTTGTCTTGTCTTGTCTTGTCTTGTCTTGTCTTGTCTTGTCTTGTCTTGTCTTTTCTGTTCTCTCTCCTCACGTGCTCGAGCAGAGGATCGTCTGCTTGACGTCGAGCGGGTCGAGTGGCTTCTGGATGGCTACTCGAGCTACCAGACGGCAGCGGGAGGAGGATCGCTGGTGTCTGCTGCGAAGCCCATCACCACGGTAGGGAGAGGGAGAGAGGACGAGGGAGTGAGGAGAGCACAGAGGAAAGAGGAAGGGAAGTAGAGAGCGGCAGAGAGGAAGGGAAGGGAAGCGGGAAGGAGGGGATGACAAGATTTCCCTCCAGGTGGTAGAGGAAGCGGCCGAGCAGCTTTCGTCCCTCCTCCTCACGGAGGATGACAGCCCTGTACAGGCAATCGTCCTGGAGCAAGTGAGCACCACACACTCTCTTCCTCCTCCTCCTTCGTCCTCGTCCTCGTCCTCGTCCTCGTTCTCAACCACCACCACCAGCAGCAGCTGCAGCTGCATCACCTCGGCATTACTTCTTGACAAAGTCCTCCCTCCTCCTCCTCCTCCTCCTCCTTCAAATTCTCCTTCCGACGGGCGTCTCTTTGATTCTTGTGCAGCTCGCCCGCATCCTCAATGCGGGAGTGAGAGGAACATGGACGGCAATCCGTAACTCCAGGCAAGAAGAGAGGAGGAGGACGAGGAGGACGAGGACGAGGAGGAGGATTGACGGTGGAATCAGTGGGAAGATGAGGAACGGACGAACGCTGCTGGGTATGCTCGTCGATCCTCTTGGAATCTTTAGGGGGACCGGAATCTTTACCTCCGACGAGGATGACCGAAGGGTAGGAGAAGGAGGAGGAGGAGGAGGACAACGAGGAGCAGGAGGACGAGTGCGAGGAGGAGGAAGAGGAGGAGGCTGACTGCTGGAGCAGGTGATGGAGGCGACGCAGAGGCTGCTGGAGGTGGTGCAGCGTCAGTCAGTGAGGGAGAGCATGGGGAGCTTGAGGCCGCAGGAGCTGCGCGCGGTCGCCGCCATCGTCGTTAGGAAGTTGTGGGACAAGCGAGCCAAGCTGCTGCTCACCTCGAACAAACTCGCGTCCACCGCCCTCCGACAGTCCCTACAGAGGTATTGGAGGAGGATGGTGGGGCGGGCAGAAGGGCAAGGTAGAGGGGAGGAGGAGGAGGGTCTGATTTCGAGTTTTGACAGGTTGGAGAGGAGGAGATGAAAAGCAACAAGAACCAGTTGATTTTTTACATCCTACATGTCAGATTGAAAGATCTTACAGCCTTCGTCCCATGCGCTTTCTCCCCTCCCCTACACGCATCTCTCCCCGCCCCCCCTCCTTTCATGCTGCTTGAGTTTGTCCCTTGCACGACAACTGCAGCAGCAAACTTCTGCTCGTGATCATATCCGTCACCTGATCCATACGTCAATCCCTCTCTTCCCTCCTCTCCCTTTTCCCATCCTTTTCTTTCTTATTTCCCTCCTGTCCTATCAATCCCTCTCCTGTCCTGCCCTGCCCTGCCCTGCCCTGTCCTGTCCTGTCCTCTCTTGCCCCCCTCCGTCCCCCCCCCCTCCCACTGAGCTCCTCTTCTCTGTCCTCTCCTACATTACGTAAAATCTTCCCCTGCACTTCCCTCTAATTTCTCTTCTCCTCCCTCCTCTCTCCTTCCTCGAACTTACTTTGATCGCCCCCGTCGGCTTCCGCAGGCAGCCAGTCATCACCTGCCCGAAGTTCTTCCAAGTGTTGTGCCGCCCTCCGTCCTGCCACAGCACATGAGGCCAACGAGGAGATGGGGGGGAAGAGGAGAGGTGGAGAGCTGAGAGAGGGGAGGGAAGACGAGAGGAGGGGAGGGGAGAGGAGAGGAGAAGAGGAGGAGAGGAGGGGAGGGGAGAGGAGAGGAGGAGAGGAGGGAGGAGAGAGGGGAGAGGGGAGGAGAGAGGAGGAGGGGAGGGGAGAGGAGAGGAGAGGATGCAAGTAATAGTTTTGAATCACCTCAGCTTGGAGCTGCAGACGATGACCGACTCTCCCGAGGGCTTGCAGGAAGACACATCCCTGTTCCTCTCCCTCCCCGTCGACTCTGCGACCGGATCTCAGCGATAGCAGACGCAAACAGGACAGGAGAGTAGTTGAGCTGGTGCAGCACCAGAGGGGAGGCACGGGGGGAGGCAGGGGAGAGAACAGGGAGGAAGATCAGGTGGAAGAAACAAGTGATAGTAAACGCGAGAGAGGACAGAGAGGTGGAAGGAGGACGACGATAAGGAGGAAGAGGTGTTGGTGGTGGTGGAGGAGGAGGGGGAGAGGGAGGGGCAAAGTATGGGAAGCACGTTCACCTGCTCAACGACAGAGACCCATCAGGGCTCTGGACGACGTTGGGTCGCTTGGCCTCGTCAAGGCAAAAACAAGAAGGAGGAAGGCATTGCTCGGCCCTCTCCTGTTGAGGGTCACTGCTGAGGAAAAGCATGTTGACCAGGATGAGAAATGAGGAGGAGAGCTGCAGGAATGTGATAGAGAGTTCAAGGGGGGGGAGGGGCAGGGAGGAGGACGAGGTGGAGGTGGAAAGGTTTGGAGAAGGAGAGGAAAGGAGGGTGATGAAGGAGGGGAAAGAGAGAGAGGAACGAATGCGGGAAAAGGAGGGGAAAGGTAGAGACAAATGCGGGGAAAGGAGGGAGAGGAAGCAGGAAGAGTATTGCTTGAAGACCTCGGGTTTGGGAGGAAGGAGCGACTGCTGCTGGTGCTCCATGACGTACTGCTGCTGCATCCTCTTGTACTCCTCCTCACTCTTCTCACTCTGCTGCGCACGGCGACCTTGCGCCATGTCGTCCTGAGGTGAAATCAGCTGGGGGAGAGGGAGAGGAAGAGGAAGAGGGAGAGGGAGAGGGGAAGGGAGACGGAGAGGGAGGGGGAGAGGGAGAGGGAGGGGGAAGGAGCGGGAGCGGGAGCGGGAGACGAAGGAAGGATGAATAAGGGAAGTGAAAGTTCAGGAAGGAAGACGAGGCAGGGAAGGGAGCATCAATGCTGCAGCACACTCAAGGTTTTGAACCAACGACTCACCCCGCTCTGTCCCTCCTGCGCTCCCTCATCGCTCAGCTTCCCGTTCCTCTCCTTGCTGCTTCCCGATGGGACGTACAGGACTGGAGCTGTTGACATGCCGCGGCTGGAGAGAACTTCAACCTCCTTCTCAAGGCTCTTGACAGCCTTGCTCAGCAGCTGAATCTGCTACAGGGTGAGAGAAGCGGGAGGACATGTGAAGAAGATCAGGAAACCTTCTTGTCTTCTCCTTCTTTCACGTCGACCAGCTCCTTCTGCAAATCGAGGAGGTAGTTGTCGCTCTGTGGGGAGCCTGCAGACTTTGATCGCGCCATGTGGTCGACATGATCTTGCAGGGCTGAAATCACATGCTGTACGCCTGACTCGTCCTGGGGAACGTCAAAGGACAGCAAGTTTACAGCATGACTGGGCGTACATCTTTCTGTGCAGTAGACTGTTTCGATTGCATTCCTTGCCCTGTCATGTAGATCTCAGAGAAGATTTTGAGGACCTTGATGAGCATACTTGTCTTCTTCGATGGATGAGACGTATCGAAAGCGGCTCTATCCTCGGCAAAGCGGGCTAGAATGTTCTGAGGTATGGTATTTCTGTTCGATCGATTGGAAGTCTCCTTGTCATGAACCTCCTTCTTTGCTCCGAATATGTCAGAGGAGATATCTTCATCGTCGTATACAGCCTAGAACATTGCGGAAAGAGTTACAAGTGACCGCAAGATGATGAGAATCGCTCACTGTCTTCGCATCTATCCCGTAGCCAACAGGCCTGAAAGCGCTGAAGCACATCGTCACATAGGAGGACTAGGCATCCGGTTCAGACCTCATCATCAGAACGTCCGCCTTGCTGCCATGTCCGCCTCCAGTTTCTCTTCTCATCACAGCTACAACCATCATCACCACCGTCAACCCGCCGGAGAGCATGGCCGCGCCTTGCCGCCATCCTGCTAAATCCGGCATGAATGAAGTCCAAGCGGCACCGGTGTAGATGGGAGTCCAATTCTAGGCCGCGCCGGGCCCCCTGCCGGGCCCCAGGCCGGGCCCGGCGGGCGCCGGCGCGGCCGGCACCCGGGTCCAGGGCCCGGCGGGCAGCGGCGGCGGCGCCTGGCAGGCTGGAAGTAATGGTAACGCCGGGTTTCCGAGCCAGAATCATGGCAAGTAAACCATGTTTTTTAGTCATCAGGAAGTTCAACTAGTACGTTCAAACGAGTTCGGACCGCTGCTGCCGATCTCGCGTCACAGTGTCACCGGGTTACAAGCCAACGGTTCACGGCACGGTTCCGGGCCGCGCCCGGCGAGTCCCCCCGGGCCCGGGCGGTCACCGGTGGCCGGGCCCGGGCTCGGGGCGGCCTGAACAGTGACGGCCCGCCGGTCAGGGTGAGTCGGACTCCGGGAGGCTCGGAGCCTGGCGGCGGCCGCCGGGCCGCGGGCCGGGCGGGGGCCGCCGGTTTACTGGAACTCTTTAGTTGTACCAGAACGATGCGACCCCTCTCCCCACCCCTAACCCCTCACCCCTTGCGACAAGTACCCCCCCTCACACACCCTACCCCGCTGATTGTGCTGCTGTACCCCTATGTGCATGTTTCAGGTACCGAGCCTTCAAGGGCCGCCAGGGGGTTAACACCTTACCTCATATCTTCTGTACCCCGTTGCCCACCCTACCCTAAGACCCCCCACCCCCCCTGATTGACTTATGTCATCATGGCGGAGGAGTAAACCATTGCGAAGACAAGGGGCGAAACAAGTCAAGAAGGGAGAGGAAGCAGGAGCAGGCAGAGCCAAGGAGGACAGACTTGGAGGGAGAGGACAGGAGGAGGAGGAGGACGAGAATGCGTGCGGCTCGTTTGAAGTTCTCAGAGGAAGAAGGGCAGGGAGCAGAAGGGAAGGGAGGTACGTAACGAGTCAGGTTGAAACATCAGGCGATGATTGTCAACCGACATGTAACAGAGAGAGGACATGTATCAAAGAAAAGCTCGAGCGACAAAGTTATGAGCACGAAGTTTACGTGATCCTCTATTTCGTGTGTATGCTTTGTCTTTCGGCTGAAATCTTTTCCATCAGGTTAGAAACCAGGCAGCACACAAATAATATCCACAAAGAAAACGGAGCGGGGAGAGCTCAGTTTCATCTTGGGTAGATATCTTCCGATTCAATCTAAAACCTCTTGAAGCGCAGCAAGCCTGAGACGTCATCCCGGCCATGACGGACGTGAGCCCACAATGCTTGCAGATCGAGGGATTGCAGTCAACAGATGACGAGGAGAGTTTTGATACTGTCGAGATACAGAGAGCCAAGAGCGCAGACACTGATGAAGGCTCTTTCTACAGTGACAACAAGTTCGTTGAAGTTGAGGCTCTTGTTCCGTTCCCGCATCCTCCTCAGCCAGAGGGGTCCATCGAGAGTGTCTTGGCAGCTTTGAAAGCGCATGGAATAAGTCCTGACTTGTCCTCGTGGTGTGACAGAGCATGCGTCATCAGGTTTGCTCTCTCCACGTCCTGCCAGCTCTGATCCGTCCTCCATAGGTTCCTGCGCGCCGAGAACGGCAACGTGGCTAAGGTGGTGAAGAGGATGCTAGTGACGATGGAGTGGAGGAACAAGACCCATCCTGAGAACGTGGTGTGCCAAGCTTGCATCAAGAACCACCGAGCTCATGACCTCCGTCTCATCGACAGCGACCGCTACGGCAGACCCGTGCGAGCTCCATCAGCAACTTTTGACCCTCGTTGTGACGAGTGAGCACAGGTCCTGTACAACTGCTTTCGTTGCTGCGACGCAAGGGAGCCGACCGTCCTTCTTGCTCACTTCACCCAAGAGATCGAGCGAGCCATCGCTGTCATGCAAGCGCCCGTGGAGACCATTGTGTGGATCTGCGACTTCGAGGGGTTCGGCATGCGGGATGCGATGGACCCGAGGTTCTCAGTCTCTCTGATCAACATGTTTCAGGTCCTCCCAGTCCTGTCTTGCTCGTGTCGCTGACTTGAGCTCCTTCAGACCCACTATCCCGAGCGACTCGGAGCGATCGTCTGCCTCGATGCCCCTCGTTTGTTTTCTGGCTTGTGGTCACTAGCGAAGCGTCTCCTGTCCCCCTCCACTCAACGGAAGATTTACTTTGCAAGGTTACTTGACATTATCCGTGTGACGTGTTGACATCTTGTGGTTCAGGGGGATGACAGCAAGAGAGCAAGTCGCTAACGCCTTGTTTCATCCCTCCACCGCCTCATGGCTCATCGCTCACATGAAGGACAACAGGGTCAAGTCAAAGGTCAGTCTGCTGCTCTCTTCGCCTCGTTTATCCCTCACGCCCATTGCTGCCGTGTACAATTGTCGTTTCCTCTAACCTCATCCCAACTCCGACTCGACTATTTCTAATCTCTCTCTTCTCTCTCTCCCCTCCTATCTCCCATCCTATCTCTCTCTTTCCTCCTCCTCCTCCTCCTCTCTCGCTCTCTACTGCAGGTCAAGGCTGCATGGAAGCTGCCGCATAGCATGCCTCCTCCGCATAAGCACGCCAGTCAGACCAATTGAATGTGGAGGTTGAGGGGGGTGGGGTACATACATCAGGGTAGGGTACTTCAGGCAATTAATTCCAGGCAATAAGAGGGTAGCTATCGAAGTAAATGCACCACTGTCGGGGGTAGGGGATGAATCAGACGGGTGGGGTGGTCACACGTGCTGAACATGGAGGAGGCGCTGGCGTTGAGGGGGGAGGGGAGGATGGAGGAGGCGGAGAAGGCGTTGAGAGCGCTGATGAGGAAGAAGCAGTTCCTCGAGCCAGCCAAGTACGAGCTCAGCATGCTCCTTCACGCTCAGGGGAAGCATGAGGAGGCGGACGAGCTCGCTACGGAGCTGGGGTTCCTCTACCGGCTCAATGACCATGTCTTCGAGGGGGGGAGGAGCGTAAGCAGAAGAGGAGAGGCAGAGGGAAGAGCGCTGATCTACGACGATGCTGTTTCAGAAGAGATGCTGAAGAGCTTGCAGGAGGTGTTCAGCGATGACAGCGACTTCTGGTCGAAGCACGAGTACCCCACTGATTTCTTTTTTAGCTATAACGCTCCTCTTGCGGAGCCTCAACTCAGCTCGGGCAAGAGGAGACGAAACTCTGCGTCAGATGCGCCCGGAGGAGCTCTGATCCAGGCGCTGGCGCGGCGCTTCATCCGACTGGCACGACCGCTCATGGAAGGGAAGGTGGCGGCGAGCGTGGAATGGTGGGCTCACTCCAGGGAGAGCTGCTGCGCTGGACATCAGTTGCACTTTGACTTGGATGAGATCAGAGTGAGAGAGGGAGAAGGATTCCCTCACCCGCTCGTCTCTTGCGTCCTCTACCTCCATGATGGCGGCAGCCCCACACTCGTGACGGATAGCAGCATCGACAGTCCTGAGGACGAGGACGAGGACAAGGCCTCGAGCACGAAGGGCTTCCTGTGCAGACCGAAGAGAGGACGCGTGCTGTTGTTCGATGGCGGCTTGCTACATGGTGTGTGCCCGACGTTCTTTGACGGCGCTGAGGGGACGATGGGGAAGAAGAGCACGCCTAGGACAACAATCATGCTGGGGCTGTGGGAGGAGGGGGTGAGGACGACGAGAGCAAGGGCGAAGACCAGCTTCATGGGCCCCAACATGAGTGAAGTGAGCAAGACGTGCCGAGGAAAGTGGAGCGAGATGTGCTCAGGGGAGCCTCAGCAGGATGAGGAAAGGAAGGCTGAGCCAGTGAAGGATTTCATTCCCGTTGGTGCCCTTTGGAAGGAGGTGGGGAAGGGAAAGAGGAAGGGAAAGGGGAAGGGAGGAGGAGCAGACTTCGAGGATCTTGGCAAGTTCATGCTCAAAGGTCATCCCAAGGAGGTACGAGGACTCTGCACGGGGAAGCCGAAGGATGTACCTGGTGCTGTCACCATCATCACGAGAGAAGAGCTTGAGAAGTTGATGAAGAAGTGAAGAAAAACAGCAGGGCCGTTTGCTTCCTCCTCGTTATCTCCCATTCCCCTGTCATCCTACTCCCTCTCCATGTCTGCAACTCCGTCCCCATCCATAAAGTACATCTCAGTCCTACTCTGCCTTCTCTCCTTCCTTCGCTTCCTCCGTCCCTCCGTGACCAGTCGCTTGCCCGCCTCCTCCAGCCGCAGCCCCGACATGTCCAGAGTCGAATCCCCCATCCGTTCCCATCGCCACCGCCATGGTCGGCACGTTCTGCTGCGGCGCCTGCATCATCGCTTGCATGTAGTACTGAGGATCGTAGCCCTCGTAGCCCGCGACCTGCTGGCACGAGACATGAGAAAGTGTGAAGAAGAAGAGGATGGGAAGTGAAGGAGGAGGAGGAAGAGGAGGCAAGGGAATAGAAATAGGACTAAGAGGGCCGCAGCATCTCACCATGCCCATGTTGCCGTAGAAGAATTGTTGAGCTGAGCTAGGCATCATTCCTGTGTAGATCGGCTGCCCGTACGCCATGTTCTGCTGCAATCAGCGTAAGAACAGAAGCCAGCGCTCACTTCCTCCCCTCCCCTCCTTCTCCCATACCTGTGCCAGTTGCCGCATGAAGTTCGCGTTGTTGGACATGGCTCCCGACATCTGCGACTGCGCGTAGTTGTATCCATCACCTGCTGTAAGCCTGAGACTTCCAGCCCCACCAGACCCTCCTCCGCTGACTTGTCCCTCCCTCCCTCCCCGGCCTTCTGCCACTACACACCACTCATCATGTTGTCGACGTGCTCTTTCCGAGGACCCTTGTTGGTCTTCCCTGGGTTGTTTCCTCGTCGATGGCTGCTCGTCTCTCCTTCCCCATTGGGGTTTCGGCCCCCCTTCTGCTGTACATTGCCGTTTCCCGCCGGCTTGATTGCAATGAGGAAATGGTAGAGGAGGAGGAGGAAAAGCGAGAGGAGGAGGAGTCAAACACTACAACCGTTGGAGCAAACGGAGCATTACCTGCGCATTGGACGTGTTGAGAACGCCTTTCATGCTCGTCAGCTCGTTCTTGGCCGCCTGCGTGCAAGCATGAGGGCAGCCACGTCATCCGATGAGAAGTTCAACCATGAGCTCGCGGTTCAGCTGCTCCATCTGCGCCTCGAAGTGCATCTTCATGTTTTCCATCTGACGCCTCGCACGTCACTCCTCTCCTCACGTGCTCAACAAAGCAGGAGGGAGGAAGTGAGGGAGGAGGTTGAGGGAGGGAGAGCAAGGAAGACAAGCAAGCAAGAATGCCGTAGCAAGAGGCAAGCAACCTGCTCGTAGACATCCTTCAAATTGTCATGTGCGTTTCCTCCATCCGCTTGCGCTCCAGCGACGGTCAGCGCAAGGCCGAAGCCGCCTGATCTTTCCTTGGCATTGGGTTTCTGCTTGCCCGCTCCTACAGAAAAGGAGAAGGACCATGAGGGCTGGATGAACCCTGGAAGGCAGCTCGTCCCACCTGGTCTCGCCGCTGAATCTTCCTCAATGCTGGGCATCTCCTCAGCGGCTGTCGAGCGTCAGGAACAGGCACGAGTTGGCAGCTTCCGTCTCACCCTTCCTCCTGCTCGACAGGGATCTCAACATCAGGCATCTGTGACCCCACGAGTTGACCCCGATGGTCTCCAGCGCCTCCATGTTCAGCTCACTGAGTAGGTCCGACGAGACCTGGGGCAGGCAAACTCAACGTACTGGCGGCGATGAGGATTGCAGCGATCCAACATGGTGCGATGCGAACAGACCGATGTACTGCTGAAGGCCCATCTCAGTCAGCCATGCGCAGACCGACGGGTCACAAGCTGCAGGGAGCTCGTCAGGAGCAGCCACACCAAACTCATCATCACCTGGCAGCGAATCCAATTTCTTGCCCTGCACGTCGTCTTCTACGGAGTTCTCAACGGGAGATCTAGCACTGGAAGCAATCAGAGGTGGCACAGACAAGTTTCAAGCTCCTCTCGCAAGCAAACTACCTTCTCTTCGAGCTCTCCTTGGACGCTCGGGGCTTCCCCCCCGCATCATCCTTGCCAGGCAGCGCCTCACTCTCGTGCAAGTACTCGGGATCCCCTTCCCGCAGCCGTCGAGACGGCTTCACGGTCCCTGCCTGTGATGAAGAATCGTTGTTCCCGTGCGATCTGTGTCTTTCCTCACTCTCATCATCGTTCGATCCCTGATCTGCCTTCAATCTCCCCGTGCCATCAGTGCTGTCTCTCCCTTTGCTACTCGAATGTCCTGGCCTGGAGCGCTGCTTCCCTGTGCTCGTTGGACGGCTTTGCTGGCTTGCTCCATCCTGAGGAGAAGGTGGATGGTTTGAAGCTACAGCTTGATTGGATGACATGATTTACACCGGATCAACGAAGCATCACAGCCTGCAAGCCAGGATTAGCTAACACCAGTGTTTTCCCTTATTTTCCTTGGTCTGAATACTTCTTCTCCTTCTTCGAGATGATTTAGAGGAAAAAACTCACAATGTATGAGCTAAAATTCTCCTCCTGCTCATTTCGTGATAGTCTTGTACGTTCCTATTTCTCCCTGCCCTCTCAATTTCCCTATATGTCCTCTTCGCATGATCATGGGCTTCCCTGCTACCCTGCTACCCTGCTACCCTGCTACCCTGCTACCCTCCTTCTGGAATTCATCGTATATTTCCTTAATAATCCCCTCCACTCATGATATTATTCCTTTCCTCCATCTTCTGCATTTCCTGGTTCGCTCCCGCTCTCGTTCTCTCCGTCGATTACGCTTCCTTCAGTTCATGCTCAATTCTTGCCGTGATCTTCTACCTCCTGAGCCTTAAATCCTCTGCCACTCTTGCTCCTTCTCATCCTCATCTTGACGTAAACATATTTCCAATCCTGCACATTCTTCATCTCGTCTTGCTCGTGCTCTCACTTCTCCCCCCCCCGCCATTGCCTCACAAGCATGGATTTCCGGTCATTCCAGTTGCTGGTATACTACCCTACCCTCGAAAATCATCCCTTGATACCCAACCCCCTGACAACAATTCACCCCTGTACACCATACCCAAAAATCTCAAAATTCGGAAGCAGCACAGCGAAGCATATGCATTTTATCTTAGTATCTCAAAAGTAACTTTTATTACCCTTGGCTTCCCAAACCTGTGTGACCCACCCCCGCTCCTCGAAGGCAATTGATGATGACCCCTAGTCTAGTGTCAATTTCCTCCCACCCCCGGTGATTATGTACCACACGATGTACCGCCTCAGGTGCATGCAGGGGGGTGGTCTGAGAAGGTACCTACGATGGCATTGGATTCGGAAGGGGTGGAGGCTGGTCATGAAGGGGGTACATTCAAGTCCCTACGTCTGTCAGCTATTCCTGACTCTTCATTTCGAAAGGTCAATCGTTGCGAATTGAAGAGTCAAACGTTGTGATAAATAAACGTTTGGCTAATTACGTTCTATTCCCAAACTTCCCCCAAACTTTCAAACTTCACCAAAACACTCGAACCTTCAAACATTCAAAACTTTCAAACTTCCAAACTTTCAAACTTGACCATCGGCACAGAACTCTCAGTCCTTCTAGTTCCGGAAGACCTTCAAAGGCTCACTGTTTTCAAATGTTTTGAAAATTAACAGAAAACTTGAAAAGATAACATCATCAAGTTTCAAATGAGTTCGGACTCTACTAAAATTCCAAAAATGATAAAATCGTACTGTAATGACTTCTTGTGGTGGTGAGGCCGCGGCCGACGGTTGACCCAGTCAAACTTGATTACATTACCGGTCCTTCCTACTCATAATCCATTAGGAAGGGTGGGGTTAAAATGTAGCTTCAAGCACAAGTACCCTGCAAGAATGTACCCACCCTAGCTCCAGTTTGATTGTCACGGCCTCAAGTAGTGCAGCCTAGCCGCAATGATCGGACGAACAGCTTCATGCCCTCCCGAACTCAAGGGCGAAGGCTTCAAGAACACCGTCGGTAATGTCCTCCTCCTTCTCGGCCCTTCCTTCCGAGGCTCCTCCTCCCAAGTTCCTCCCGGGTCATCCTCTTCGGCTCCGCTCCCTGCCTTCAAGTCTGGGCCCTGCGACTCCTGGCTGGCAGGGTCGGAGCTCTGTCAGCGGCAGGCCCTGCCGGCCGATTGGGTTGAGATTCCTGCATGCGTAGTGATACCCGACCTATGTTGTAGTAGATGCTTTCCCTCCTTTCAAGTCTTCTTCTGCCAGCTCTTTGCAGCTCCTGTCATGCTCCCCTCGCACAGGCTGTTGCCGCGGTTGCAGGCTCCTTGAGACTCACCTTTCCACCCCCCTCCCCTCCACAACCTGACCGTGTCGGCCCCTCGTTTGATGCTGGTGTACCAACCAACCCTTGCTTGTTCTACCCTGTATGTACCCTTCAATGCGGGCTTTCTCCAATTCTGGAAATTTGCAAACTTCCCTAATCGGAGTTTCAGAAAAGTTGAAGAATCGACCGCTATCTGCTAGGACTAGGAATGTCCTCAAATCTCTGCCGCAGGAGTACAGGCAAGGGCACCTCCTCCAGCTGTCTACCCTGCCAGAAGTTCTGATCCTGTCTAAATCTAAAGGAAAGATCTTCTTCCGCTGGAGCAGGAGGACAACGCCCCAGAAGCCGCAGAGAGGTGAAGAGATGTCAATCTCTGCTTGCACTGACTCGAACTCAAGCGGGAATGCTACCATAACGAGGCTGAAGAGTGTGAGAGAAGACGTGGAATCGACTCTGGTACTCACTCAGAGCAGTAAGTCTTGTTCTTGCGATGCTCTTACGCCCTCGGTTCGGCCCTGTTGACGTTTTGCCGCAAGTCCTCAACGAAACCTCTTCGCTGCTAGCTTCTCAGTTCAGGGGGATGACATCGAGAGAGGTGAGCGCAACTTTCTATTCCCTTCCTTCCGCTTCCACGTCTGAGTCTTCTTCAAAGCTCAAGAGCCGTGTCAAACTTTCTTTCGAGACCTACGACACATCCAAGTGATTATATGCTTGCCCCTTCTCACTTGTTCAAACCCTTGTCATGACATCAACGATGATTTTACTTATTTCTTCACAGAGATGGCGTGCTACAACCTCACGAGGTCAAAGCTGCGCTTGCCGGGCTGGGAGCAAATCTCTCCGACACACAAGTCTTGGTAAAGGGGAATGGGCAGAGGAGGGTTTGCAAAAAGGGGAAGCGGGAAGGAAGGGGACGTGCGGTACAGAACGATGGGAATATGATTTCATTCCAGCAATATTGTGAGATGCATGGAAAGGACATGGTCCTGAGGCTGGAAGATTATGAGAGAATCGTAATGCCTCGTTTCTCTCCCTCCTCCCTTTGTTTCCCTTCTCTATTCGACCCCGCTCTCATCATAGCTGGCAGGTCATGAATGCTGTTCAAGGCAAGCCGTTCGAGGTGGAGACAGACGCGTGAAGCTACAAAAACGAGAAAATTAGATGCTGATTATGCCAGACCCATGGAAGTTTTGGAAGTTGACTATCAAGACCGTCAACTGTGTAACATTTTTGATAATTTCCCACCAACGATCTAGATATTGATGATAGATTTTAAACCTTTCTGATGATTGAAGGAGAAAAAGCCTGCATTATAGAAAATTGGTCTACCCAGCGGTTGTGCATGAAGTCCTTTGAACAGACTGCGCCTCCACAACTTCGTTTTATGACCTTGCTCAGGGCCTCAATCTTTCTGCAGGAAAGATCTGTCACAAGACCCTTGTCAAATAATCTTGAAACCAACCTTGGTTTGAGCATCCTTGTCCCTGTAAGTCTTGCGGCTGTGTGCGACATGTAAGAGGAGGCAAGGGAAAGGGAAAAGGCGGCGCTCAAAATGAGGGAGGGAAACGAGGAGTTGTAGCTGTGACAGAGGGGCGGGCAGGGAGTTGGAGGACAAAGAGAAAGATGGAGATGTCTCGGAGAAAACAAAACGAAAAACCTGAAATTGATGAAAAGAAGCAGAAGCTGCATATGATTGTAATCAGCACGCTCCTTGTCCTCTTCCCCACATGTCATGGTAGACTCACAGAAAAATTGAAGGCAGCGTTGAAGTAGACAGCGCCTCGTCCCTCGCAGCCTATCAAGTGCGCGGACCAGGCATGAGCAGGAGAGCAACGACGGCCGAGTTGAAGAGTTGGGGGAAGAAATTCACAGACCTTCTCCCTTGAGGACTCGAGTCTTGTAATAGTCGAGGACGAAGAAGGGCAGAGCAAGGATGAAGCTACAGCCACAACTTTACGATTTTGGAACACGCGAAAGAGGGAACAGGATGACCTGGTCTGAAATTGGATAATCTGCCCTCGGGTGATATAACGCTTCCACCATGGCGGCGGCTGGTAGACTGATGGACCAGATATCAGAGGCAAGCGGGGCAGAGGGAGATGGGGCAAATGGAGGAGCAGGGGAGGATGTGAGGGAGAGAGGGGAGGCATTCCTGTAATGGCGAAGTAATAGTACATAAACACGTGGATCAGCGTGTTGGCAAGAAGTCCAAGCGTCTGTCATCGCACTTGATGTCTCCATATCTCGATCTATCAATGTACCTGGAGGGACTGAGAGTACTCCAACCAGTTCCAGCACATGAGCACGACGACAGCATGATGGTAGACGTGGAGGAAGTCAAGAGGTTTTCTTTTCAAGACCTGACATAGTCAAGACTGGAGCATCAGAACATCTTCTGGGTCTTGAAGGAGACTTCCCACCTTGAAGAAGGTATCGAAGAATTCGAGGTATTTGCTCAAGTAGTAGATGTAAGACCAGTAGAACAATCCCCCCTTTGCTTGCGTTCCGATCTTCTCGCAAAACATCCACTCGATCCCATCATAACTTCATGTTCGTCATAAACATTTCCATGAATTTGTCCGATTACCTGCTCCGCTTCACAAGCTCGTACGCTGCACCAAGGAACATCACCAAGGAGAGGAGGCAGAGAATGGCATTGTGAAGCGACAGGAGAAACTTCAACGTGGGGGTGTCCTGTTGCTTTGCGCCAGGAGGGAGAGGGCCGAGGAAGAACTTCAGCCCAAAGATCCCTCCGAAGTAGAAGAGCTATAAATTTCAAGTGAGAAGACCGCAGGGTTGAAAACATCGCCCTCAAGGACAACTTTGACGCAGAATATCTCAAGTTGATCTATTCCGCACACACAAAACCTCATCTAATCAACCTTTCCCCATCAGATTTCCAACCATTCAGTGACATCTTCGTCATGAAATCGACAACAAGCAAGGTTGGAACCACACTCCTTCGCAGCATTCAACCTTCAAAATTGCACACATCGAGCAAAACGAGCAAGAAACAGCAACATCGCACATGTCAACATCGTTCTCCTCATGTTATTCATCAACATGTCGCCTTCTCACCTCTCCCACGATCATGAACTCCATCTCCCGCATCGGCGCATTCTCCCAATTAAAATCCGCCATCATCCTTTAAAACTCACCAACCCCTACCTCCCTCCCCCCTTGGGATTTCTGATGAAGTAGGGGTGGGTTAAAAGTAGGAAAATCCCGATGAAAGCGGTTCAATGAAACTACTGCGGTTGGAGATGGAGGAGGATGAGGAGGATGAAGAACATGCTGCTGCTACTGCTGCTGCTTATGGTGGTGGTGGTTATGATGATGATGATGATGATGATGATGATGATGATGATGATGATGATGATGATGATGAGGAGGAGGAGGAGGAGGAGGAGGAGGAGGAGGAGGAGGAGGAGGAGGAGGAGGAAGGGAGGAAGGAAGGGATTGACTTTCCCTCTCCCTCTCTCCACCCGTCCATCCATCTTTCCTCCCCATTCTCTTTTTATCTGCATGGTCAACATTGAGGATTGTGAAAGATGTTGCCTGATACGAAGAAGTTTAGATGAGAGATGGAGGTGTTCTCGAGTAGGAAAGAGTAGGGGAGCAAACGACGTGAGCTGCTGATTAGCACATGTCTTGATTCATCGCAGCAGTACTCAAAGATTTTTCCTTTTCTCCTTCGTCTGATACAGTTGAGATAAATGAATTTAGCTAAAAGTTACGACAGGCAGCGACGTTGGCAGCATGCAGTGACAACTGGTGATAATTAAGTAGCCCAACAGTGAGCTTGCAGATGAAGCCGGTCTTTCTTAATTGCCACTGAAGTCATCTACATCATTTCCATTCTCCTACTTCCCCGACAAGCTGCAGCAACATTCTGCTCTTAGATCCTCTGCTGTCTCTGAGAAAAACATCTCGAGTAATCGGTTCAATGTTTCCTTGCTCCTGCTGGGGACAACATGGTTATTGGATTCAAATACCTTCCTGGGTATTTCGCCAACTTGCGGAAGCTGCCAGCTTTAAAGGTTGCAGCACGTACGACTTCTGCTCCTGCTCTCTACTTCCATCCGCCTCCTCATAAACACTCCACAACATGATTGCACGCCTCCTACACCGCCATGGCTTGACCTGACCTCGTCGCAACGAGCCCGATGGAGGATTCTTTACGGGCTTGCTCCTACTCTAGACAGACCCGCTAGATGCGCCATCCTCCTCACAGGGTCTTATGCACGCGTGTTCTCCCGGTCCTCGTTCCCCTGGTCCACCATGATCGCGCTGGCGCCGTAGTTGCGCCTGGCAGGAAGGGGGCATACCATAAATTATGAGCCGTTCAATAAATCCCCTATGTGTTCTCGTTATTTTATTGATAAACATAGATATCTGCAGCTGCGAGATTTGTAGGAAATTGAAAGTTGTAATAAACTTCGATCGGTGGGCCACATCCTCGGCACCACTTCCTTCCATGCAGCTTCCATGAACGCGCACTGACGAAGAGGCTCCTGTTTCATGCGCACTTGTCGATCCGCATGCCGACATGCTGCTTGCACACGAGGGCATGATCACACAAGCTCTACACACTTGCAGCTCTGCTCGCATTCCTTGCTGTTCTCCTCGCGTCTGCTAACTCCATTGATCCAATCCTTCCATCCCTTCCATGCATCCTTGCTCGTCTCTGCTCTCTTTAATAATGCTGTTTCGCACCATCGAGTTTGCAATCAACTCATTTCGCTGAAAACTTCACTCCTGTGATGCATGCCTGCTGGTTTCATCTTCGCTTGCAAGTTCTGACGGCTGCCATAGGCCAAATCCCGATGTTCACTTCATGCTACACCTGGAATAAGGGCTGAGCTGATTCAGTCTCGTCCGTCTCGTCTCTCAGTTTGCAATCATCGCATCAAGCTGCTGTGACGTCAGAAGGGAGATCAAGTGATCGCCTTCAATACTTTGGTCAGTGAGTTATCAGACGAGGAAGGTCGACCCCTCATTTATTGGGCGTCCAAGCATGAAATAATCCGGGTTCACATGAAGCATGTCTCACATGAACAGATTCTCTCGCTTGTTCAAGAGGTTTCCAGCAAGCCTCCAATGCGGTTTCGGTCAGGCAAAGAGGCACGTGCACGCTGAGCAAGTACTAGTGAGGTCGTTTTCACTGGGGGAGCAAGAGCGCAAGGAGGCAACCAGAAGCATACTTCCCCCTCAGACGTACAGGTCCGACCTTCCATCGGACCTTCCACCCTCGCACAGGAAAGAAGTGACTGGCAAGCCCGATGAGAAACCCAAAAGAAAGCTGCTCAAGTCGTTCACGACCTTGAAGGACCTCGTCCAGTACTTGGAGCCTTTCTCGTCAGGGGGGGCAGCAGGCAGGAGGAGAGGGGGAGGTTACGGCGATGGTGACGCGATGGGCAGATGGATCGCTTCCCTTCCGAGGAGTCGAAGCGTCAATGGCTCTCAACCACTTGCATCGTCTGCGTCTTGACTCCAAGGTTGATCGATGACTCTCGCTTGTTGATGGTAGTGGTGAGAAGGGCGAAAGTGGAGGTAGTTCAAATGGTGGTGTTGGAGGTGGTGGTGGAAGAGTAGGATACATTTCAAAGGTTGAGAATTGTTTTGTTTGCAGAAGGACTCAGAATTGTCGGAAGACTTCAAGCGCCAGGTACTTTTTCGATCATTTCTTTTGTTCGAGACATGGTTGTACGTTTGGAACACTGCAAACGGTTCTTGATTTGGAGACGACTGATTTGGATGGTTTTGCTTTAGATCCATCAGTTTGCAGGAATGGTGATGAGAGACATCGGTGAGATCAAGGGCAAGAATCTGTCGTGGACGCTCAATGCGCTCAAGGTCTTCCTCTCAGTGTTGGAAATCGGAGCTCGCTGAATTGACTATAGGACGTCGTTGGTTTCGAAAGCTTGTTTGACGCAGCGGCAGATCGGCTGATGGCTGTTAGCTGACTCTGATGAGTTGCTTGTCATGCTGACTTGTTCTGTTATCCATATCCTCCAGCTCCCTGTCAGCCACTTCGAAAACCTACAGGTTCGTCTTATCCATTGACACCAACTTCATTTCCTGCTTTTCCTGCTGCCCAGTGAATTGCCTCTTGTTTTTTTATTCTTCTAAGCCTTGAAAAATTACTGAAAGTTTTTCTCTCGTCTGCAGTCGATCTCCCTGTGTTGCAACGCTTTCGCTCACTCCATCAACTCGAGGAAAATCTCGCCTAACAAGCTAAAGGTGATCGGCGTCCGCATGATCCTTCTGTATCTCACCTGTACACGAAGATGCTTGCAAATCATATGGCAACTGCTTCAGTGGCCTTAATGGACCCGCAAAGCTCTGAGGTTGCCCTCACCCTCACCCTCACCCTCACCCTCACCCTCACTCTTCCGCTCCCTCTGCCCTTGCCCTTGACAATCCCCTGAGTCGGCCTTGCTGCTGGGTTCGTGATTCTGGGTCTTGTCTGCATTTACCTCTTCGCCTGAATCCAAGTTTCAGGTGGATGCTCGGTCCATCGCTGTCCTTTGCAACGCTTTTGCTAAAGTAAGATTCAAAGGAGGAGGAAGCTAAGGAGGAGGAGGAGGAGGAGGAGGAGGAGGAGGAGGAGGAGGAGGAGGAGGAGGAGGAGGAGGAGGAGGAGGAGGAGTCGGTGGGGCGGGCAGAGAGAGGAAGCAGGAGGAGAAACTTAACCTCTCAGCAGATGAGCCCGGAGAGGGACGAAGTGTTTGAAAGTGCATCACAAGGTCACCTCTCCTTACTGCCATGGACTCGTTCTCATGTGTGTCGATAGCCATACAAGCCATGTCCAAGAGGAATGTCAGTATGAAGCTACAGGTGAGAAGAGACCTGAGAAGAGACTTTATTCGCATCTCCGCTGCTTCATCTCTTCATCTCTCGTTTGTTGCTCCTCGTTCCTTCCACACGCTCTCAATCCCTCACTTTTGTCACTTCACTTCTCCTCCGCCCTCAACTAACCATCTTCTCAATCTCACTGATCGCCCTCAGGACGTGCGAAAGCTCTGCCATGCCTTCTGTCATCGCCTCACCTACGATCAAGAAAGGTCGACCTCCCCCTCCCCCCCCACTCCCGGCGCTTGCTGAGCTCCTCCCAGGGACAGCGCGCTGTTCTGTATTCTTTTCTCCGTGGCCAAGTCAGAGCTGCGGAGTGAAAGAAAGAGAAGTCTTAAAACCAACAGCACGAGATGCTCGTCTTCTTGCCTCCTTGAGCATGGAGGTGACTTGCCCTTCACATTCCCCGCCGACTTCCGCTCACCCTGTTCGTGCAGACAACGTCGGGTGCCTTCCGGTCGACATCGCCCTCATCCTTCAATCTGTGACTGAAACCTGCGTCCTGCCTCCTCTCACCTGGTCCTCCAGCTCCTGCGATCGCAGTACAACGACTTGGAGATGCTCGAAGAGCTGAAGCAGACGATTGACGTTGACTTGCCTTGCACCCTATCCCATGGAACATTGAAACATTGTCCAGGCACTGAGTCTTAGCTTCCCGCAACACTTCGACGGGATGGTAAATCCTGTGTTCATGCGTTGCTTGTTCTCCCTGCTTGTTCTTCCTGCCTTCTTCATTCCTCCTTCTCTTTCAAAACCCTTCTCCTTTTTCAGTTCTTTGTCGTTTGCTCTGTCTCTTTGCTCGATCTCTCTGACGTGCTTTAAAGAGCATACACGTCATCCTCAACGCTCTCGTGCAATTTCGTGTGTGTGACGCAAAGGTCTTAACCGCCATAGGCAGGTCGGCTATTTCACTCCTCTCGACCTCTTCTCCCTCTCCTTCCCTCCCCTTCCTCCTTCTCAACGGCTTGTCAAATCCTCACAGCTTTCAGGTGCATCATAGCGTCTAATAAGGTCAGCTCGAAACCAGAGGCGATCCTTTCCTTCAAGGCACTATCTTCAGCCTCCCTCCTTCTCCTCCTCACCATCTGCACAGACGATTCGCACCTGGCTCGACGTCGCTACCGATCTTCAGATCCACTCCGAGATTGTGGACATGATCATTGAGGTTCATCGTCTCCCTGCCCCTCCTCCTCAACCTCCGCACTCAGCTCCTTCTACCTCTCCCCGCCTTCCTGCTATCTTAGCTTCTTCTTCCTTTCTCTGCCTCCTCGTGCTTGCGCTGATCCTCGTTACAGATGGCGATGGAGATGATTTCCAGCAACGTTGCCAGCATCTCCAACGATGACTCGCATGCGCTCGTTCGCGCCATCACAGAGAGGGGGGCGGATGGGCCCCTGATAAGATGAAACAGTAGCAGCTCTTCTCCCTTCCTCCTCAACTCCTTCCTTCCCACCTCCTCTTCTTCGCGTTGCTCCTCCTCAATCCCATAAGGAGCGCTACTCCCTGTAAGAAAACGTCTTCTCTTCCTCCTTTACCCCTAGCGCTCCCGCCCTATCAAAATCTTTCCAACTTATCATTCACATCCTCTAACTCCACTTGTATCATACCTTCCCTCCTCGTTCCTAGTCACACGGAATGTTCCTCTCTTTCCCTCTCCCTCCCCTCCTCCTTCCCCACCTCATTCATCAGTCCTCATTCATCTGTTTATCCTTCAACTTCACTCAATCAGCTCTCTCTACAAGTACATTCAGCCCGTCCATGATCCCGCTCTCCCCGACGGTGCTCTTGAGGTCGACCGGTCCTGTCTTCCATGACGTTCCTCCTCGCACGACGAGCTGGTAGTCTCCAGCTTCCACCCCGTTCTCATTCGCCCACACAGTCAGGAGCTTCTCCGTCGACATGGTAGGACGGACAGTCAGCTCGAGCGGCTCGCTGCCTCCGGTCAAGATGATGTTCCACTTGTCCTCGGGAGAGTAGGACGGTTTCTCCATCGACATGCGTTTCGCCTTGTCGCCAGACTTTACCGCAGTGGCACCTTCACCTGCCTTGATCTCATCCGACACCTCCTTCAGCTGCGTCTCGACGGTGTCCAGCGCAGTCCGCGCAAACTTCTGGGTCGCCTCTTCACCGAACAAGCCTCGTCCGGACTTGAGGTTGCCGAGGATGCCGCCAAGAGCGCTGCGAGACAGAACATGGTCACATGCTATCAATATGGCGGGGGTTCAAGCCAAGGGATCTCAGAGCAGCTCATCTAGTCTAACCTTGCAACTTGCTTGGTGTCGGGGACGTCAAAGTCCTCGTTCTTCATCGAGACTCTCCTGCAGATTCCTGCAGCACGTCCAGCTGAGGCTGCCCTCAGTGGTAAGCCGCATCCCGAGAACGCAGTCGCGACTGCGAGGGACTGAAGGATGAAAACCCCAAGGCACAAGACTGTTTGAGGAAAGGCGTCAGAGGGATGTGAGATTGATCGATATCAGGTGACGACCATGTGGAGAGAACGAGGTCATCACAATATTGCGAGGAGTGAGCAAGAACGAGTTGAAATGGGCAAGAATCAACAAGAGCATCTCGGTGACAAGACCTCTCAGTAGGATGAAAGAGATGTTATGTCACTTTGATGCATCTTTCACAGCTGAATCGTCCTCTTCTCCATCTACTTCTCTCTATTGCACTCACCCGTCCTCGCCATTGCCGGCCGCCAGCGTAAGAAATCGGGGAGAAGGCCAACAACATAGTGGGGTGGGTCCAATGACTACCCTTAGTCCCCCTGCATTTCGTGCTACCAACACTGGGTACTTGGGTCCACTAAACATTTCTCGGACATTGGGGTAGGGTCATCCTCCACGGTTACGAGCGGGGATGTGGGAACCACATCACAGGTAGGGTACCGTTTGTGGGAAGCTGGAGGGGTAGGAGTGTTAAGGGTGGGGATGGGGTCCAATTTCCTAGTCTTTGCCGTATACAATTAGGGGGTGGGGTACCCCGGAAATAGTAGGACGGCGAGAATGCCGGAGGCACGCCGTTGAAGGCGATGGCGAGGGGAGAGGAGCGAACATGAGAGGAAGGGACGGAATGAAAATGGTGGAAGAAGGAAGATGGAGTTGAGTGTGCATTGGAAGGAACTTGTGTTGTCATCATACACATCTTGAAGCCCCGTTCAGTATTGCCAGGGAGACCAAACATGATTTCAAGAGAAGGGCGAAGGGCGGTGATGGTGGCTGGTGGTGGGCTGCTGGTGGTTGCAATGGCCTTGTGGACAGTGGGAAGGGGCGACTCCGATGCTCCGCAAGAGAAGCTTGCAGAGAGAGCAAACCTGTATGGTAGTGACTTGTGGAAAGGAATGTGGAGGAACGCGGGGGTTGCTGGTCCAGGGCACTTTAATTGGCCACATGTAGCCAGCAAGAACGCTCCTACGGCTCATGTTGAACACGCACAAGATCAGAGCACCCATCATCAGGATAGGGCAAGACAGCACGATGCGCCACGTAGCATCAAGGAAGCAGCAAGGTCTCGCATAGCCAAGTTGGCTCAGACGAGCCATCTCCCGGCAGTCAGTATCGTGCAACCAGTTGGCGCTGGAGGACAGCAGCAGTCGAACCAGATTGAACAGGAGCAGGAGCGGGAGCATGAGCATGAGGAGGTCAAAGAACAGGTGAGCAAGAACCCCAGTGACAGCGCGGAATCGCAAGCAGCACCAAAGTCCCCTCAGGAGGGTCAGTATGGCTGGAGACCTGGGATGGATACGATCCGTTGGCCTGACCAGCAAGTTGAGGAGGAGGTTGTTCCACCACAGGAAGTCCAGCAAGAGCAGCCCTCTTCTGTGAGCGTTCAGACCCAACCTCCAAGCTCTCCGACGACCCCGAGCAGTCCGAGCGAGATTCCATTGATGCGATCAACAGCGACTGATGTCATCAATGCAGTCCCGATGGAACCGGACGTGGAAGCTGCAGGTTCAGCTTCCCACCTCTCCCTCTCAACCTCTCGTCGCCCTTCGTCCCTGTCTCTCTTCCTGCCAGGTCGTGTAAGCTGACACTCGTCATGCAGCGATCAGCGGAAACTGGACAAGACGAGCAGCGGCAGGTGCATTCTGCAAGCAGGACCCGACAGGGTCACCTGAGCAGATGGTGCGAATGTCCTTGGGGGAATGAGCGAGGGCGTGCTGACCTTGCGCTCAGCCGAGACAGTGTGCTGTGTGGGAGCAGCCGGCGTGGGGTCGGATGAAGAAACTGCCGGTGATTCGATGCCTCAGGGTCGGTCGGGCGGCTTTTGACTTGTATGGAAGGTGGGGAACAGCCCGCAAGTTGCCAATGGCTGCATCGAATACACCTGTCGCTCAGTTCGGGCTGAGCACGTAATCTTCCTGGACCAAAGGCTCGAGCTGATGCTGAAGCGGCTGCTCCTGGCCTGCGAGCATGGCGCCAGCATGATCGGATCATGGGCGAATGTAAGGAAGCGCTCCGAAGCTTGCTGTCACGCGAGCTCGAGTGAAGTGTGTCACAGGAAACTTGGATCCGGATGAAGTTGAACTGGGCGCGAATGTTCGGTCTTCAACACACTTACGAGCAGGCGGCAAACGAGCATCTGGCATGGATGCAGGAGGAGGCGTTCAGAAAGAGCGTGATGGTGAGAATGCGGCAGAGGCAGAGGCAGAGGCAGAGGGATAGTTTGGCGCAGGGAGAGAGGAATCTGACGTGGAGGTGTGCTGTTGGTGATGTGTTCATGGTGAACAGGTGAAAATGAAGGGAGATACTTCTTCGTTTGGCGAGTACACTCACGTAGACCCGATGACAATCACTCCCGGTGAAATTTGATCCTCAACAGAAGGTGTCAAACTTAGGTTTTCATCTGACGTCAATCCTTCAGGCACGAGGATGGAGAGTGCGGTGTCAGGCTGCATGTACCCGTTCATGAACTGCAAGAACCAGCTCCTGCAGGCAAAGAGACTTTGCCACGATGACGGATACTGGTATGAAGAGGGGAGGATCAGGATTGGAAGGAGGAAAGGGGGGGAGGAAAGAGTTTCTTTCAACAAGAGGTGGGGGGAGGGGAGGGGGGAGGCGAAGGAGGAGGAAGAGGAGGAGGAAGTCGTGGGGGTGCGGCATCTGACCTTGTGCTGTAGGGTGAGGCACGTGAGAGACTTTCATTGCACGGGAGGTTTCATCGCGTCGGAGCCAGGGGAGGCGGAGAAGTGGAAGTACATCGATCACTTCGCCATCTCCATGGCGCTGCTGGTCGGGGCCGTGGTCATCGGCCTCGTCGTCCGGGCCTACATGCTGAACCGGCTGGCCAAGCATGCGGGAGTAGATCACAGGCTGTGGTGGCTGAGGGGACAGACAGAGCAGTCGACGCCTCCAGATCGGGAGATCGTGCAGATCACTGTGTGAGGTAGGAGATACGTCATGGAGGGGAAGGAAGTTTCAAGGTCAATACGAAGCTGTTTCCAAAGGAATCGGATCATGGCGGGATGGTTCAATCTTCGTGTGAGGAAGAGAAGGGGAGGGGAGGGGAAGAAGAGTTGTTGAGGGCTCCTCAAAGTCAACGTCCCTTAGATCTGCGAGGAGGATCAAGGATGCGCTGTTGACATGTCAATGTGCTGTTGTATATAGTAAAGCTAATCCTCGACCGACTTGTCTTACTTTTTCTTCTTCCCCTTCTTAGAACTTGTCCCATCCTTGTATACCTCACGAAAGAGCGATTCCTGTGAAGGAGAAGGAGGATGGTCAGCCGTTTCCCCTCTAGCCCCGCACCTACTCACCTTGATCCCGTTCCCCGACAGTGTGAACACCGAAAGCCTCCTCGTCGGCACCCGCAGAAGCTCAGCAGCATCTTGCCCTATCCCGAGATTGTTTTCTAATAGAAGCTGTGGGAGGGTCAGGAAATGGTGGGAGCGGGAGGAGGGCGAGAGGGCGAACGAGGGAGAAAGTTGACTTGCGATAGGGGAGGACAAAGATCGAGGAAAGTAGCAGCACAAGTTGTAGGCGGAGAAGATGAGAAGAGCTGGGGATCAGAGGAAGGAGTAAGAGGGAGGACAAGTTGGAAGCTCTGGGAGGAAGAGGAAGGGGAGGGGAAGTAAAGGAAAGCCGGAGAGAGAGGAGGGGAAGGGATAGATCGTCACCTCCTCTAGAGACACGTTGAGGCTGAGCTGCTTCACCATGAACTTGAACTGGCTGATGCGCTGGATAGAGTCACCCAGCTCGTGGTAGGTGGAGGGGGAGAAGCAAGTCCCCCTCTGTATCCCCAGCTGACATAGCCTGATCGCCTTGACCCCCTGCGCATGCTTCGACACCTCCGTGCCGCAGCTGCCCCGACTGAGAAAGACGCTCCCCCCGCTGATAGAACGTATCCGAATGATCTCTCGCCCGACATGCAGGCAGGCGCCCTTGACGATGCCGAGCTCGAACAGTTGCCGCTCGGAGACAGGCGTGTACCTCTGTAGGAAGTTCTTGCTCGTGGTCTCGTTGCCGGCAGACGGAAAGACAGGCTGCAGGCTCTGCAGCGGCAGGACGAACTTGACCGCGTCGAGGTCCTCCCGAATGATGAAAGCGCAATCTGCAACGATATCCGTCACGTGAATCATCTCCATCCCCATCTGGCAGTAGCATCCCTTGGTGATCTGAGCTCGGAATACCTGGAAGGAGTCCTGCTTTAGGTGGGCCCAAGTCTCCTCCTTCTCAAGGGGACAGGCCAGCGACACTTCGAAGTTCGACTCGTCCACCTGGACTACTTTCTGCGTCCCGTTCTTATCCATCACCTTGTACGTGATGTCCTCCGTGAACGAGTTGTCACACAGGTTCAACTTCTGCAGAGTCTCCGTGGCCGCAAACAGCTTCGGCTCTCCCTCGATGTACGATGTGAACAGTTCCCATCCTGCCCAAGGGCCCTGGGTGGCCCGGTAGTTCCCCGACGTGCCCTCCATCGGCTGTGCTCGGAACTCATCGCTCAGCACAGCCTTCAGTTCCAAGTCCCACAAGTTGGTCGCGTTCCCATCCTCATCCTGCTTGTCGCTGCTGAACTGACGGACCGACGTGGGTGCCCAGAGTTCTTGGTTGGTCATCCCCGCAAAGATTGGGATCAAGGAGTACCCAGGCAGGCTGTTACCTTCCTCATCAATGTACAGACCCAACTTGTTCCCCTTGAGGTCCAGCGACTTGACCTTCGAACCCTTGATGATGCCATCAGCGATCAACTGCCCGCTGCGCGAGGTCAGGCCGCAGAACGCCAAGCTCAGGGTCGACACGTTGGTGTTGTTTCTCAGCCCCGACGCGATATGCTCGACCCCCGCATCCCCGAAGTGATTGAAATCCAGTGTCAGCGATCGCAATGGCACGTGGGCCTTGAGACTCTCGCCGAGCAGTTCGCAGCCTTGCAGTCCGATGCCGCAGTCCACCAGTTCCAGGTGTAACAATCCCTCCCACACGTCCGGCTTCGGCGGCTTCATCCCAAACTCTAACAATCCTTTGAGCCCTTCATCTTCTACCGGAGAATGCCAGAAGCATATGCTCTTGACCCTGCAGTGGAGGGGACAAACCTCTTTCAACGACTGGGGCAACGAAACAGAAATCAGAATAGGAACGAGGAAAGAGTGTGGAGTAGATAGTAGAACTCACTCGCCCGAGCTGCTTAATCGCAAGAGGGTTCAGGTTGTCTACCTCTCTCTTGCCATCCTCCTTCACTTCCCCGGCAAACACGAGCTTCATCGTCTCCTTGGCCTCCTCGGGACCATTCGGACGCGCCCAACCCTGACTGTCGTACAACTTGTTGAGCAAGGCATTATCAACAGTGACCTAGAATCAACTCAGCTCTGAACGAGAACAGGAAGGAGACTTATCAAGTAGACACACCTGGACGTCATGGAGGTGCTTCTCCACGCTCTCCTTCACCCTCTTCATCTTCAGCTTGTTCCCGTCGTCGTCGACCTTCCCTCCCTTCCCCGACATTCTCTCAACTGCCGCCAAACAGGTCTCCCTCAGAGCTTGTGCTAGACGATTTGGGGGCAGCAGTAGTGACCACTTCACAAAATACAACTTCAAGTCCGCCTCACTATAGTCAATAGAGATTTTGCGATGGCAGTGATCTGTTCTATTTCATTTTCGGACTGGATCACCCTACCCCCTACTTTGTCAACATAACACAGGGGATTGTTGGGGTCCTCCATCCTTGTCCCCTGGCGTCGTCGCATACGCGGTCAGGAGGTAGGGAGGAACCCTTGAGCTGTGAGTTGCAAGAGGAGGAGACAGAACATCAAAGAGCAGATACGAGGATAGAGGGATAGAGGGATACAGAGATCAGACAGGAGGTAGCAAGTGGACTGGGCAAGGCAGCCAGAGGCTGAAGGAGAAGGCAACTTAAAAGGCCAACATGCGCAATATCGTACTGCTGGTTGCAAGGCTATACAGTCCCGTGCATAACTTCTCCGTCCTCTCAGCGGATCCTGGGTATGGTGAAGATGAAACTTGGTACGAGGAACCGGGCATTGACGAGAACGGTCACTCAAGGTATCATATGAAGGAATGTTTAGAGCGAAACGGACAAGTCCTTCCTTTTTGTTTCCAGGATGAGAACGCGGACCCAGGCATTGATTACAGTTCGTGGACTTTCTTCACAGCTTGAAATTTAATGATAGCAATCTGGTTTATTGATTTTTAATGGATGGCCACGGACCAATCACGAAACTGCTTTCTGCCATATTGAATGTCACAAAGCTCGTGGAACAGTCTCGTCGACAACTCCCCAGCTCTGCCGTCCTTGCCGCAAGGTATCGCATACTCCTTTCCCATGTATGAGATCCCGTTGATCGGTGATACAATGGCTGCTGTTCCAGCTCCAAAGATCTCGATCACCCTCCCCTCGTTTGCAGCGTTGATGAGATCTGCCATGGTGAAAGTTTTCTCCGACACCTCGAACTCACGCCATTCTCTCGTAAGTTCCAAGATGCTGTCTCGCGTCACACCTGGAAGGATGGTGCCGTCCAACGGGGCTGTGATGAGCTCCCGCTTGCCGTCCGCCCTCTTCCAGAAGACGAAGAAGTTCATCGAACCGACCTCGGTGACGTAATCCTCCTCCCCGAACAGCCACAGCACTTGCGAGTAGCCTTGCTGTGCCGCCATCTTCTGCGGAAGGAGCCCAGGAGCATAGTTGCCTCCAACCTGCCACGACAAGTCAGTCGACACATCCACGGTGATCTGCTCCAACCTTGTTGCAGCCAGTCCCCCCCGGCCATGCTCGCTTGAACTTCGACTCCGCCAGCACCTTAACCGGGGCGAAGCCGTCTTTGAAGTAAGGTCCCACCGGGCAGGCGATCACGTAGAAGAGAGCATGATGAGCCGGATGAACTCCGAGCGAAGAGCTCGTGGCAATGACAGTCGGCCGGATGTAGAGCGAGAACCCATCCTTGTCCGGTATCCAGTCTCGGTCTACCTTGAGGAACTGTTTGAGACATTCGATGAACTGATTGCCGTCGAACATGGGCATGGATAGGCGTTGGCACGAGTCGTTGAGACGCTTCATATTCTTGTCGGGTCGAAACAATCGCACCACACCTGATTTGTCTTTGTACGCCTTCATGCCCTCAAAGCATTGGACGCCGTAGTGCAAGCAAGGTGCCGCTGCGTCGATCGACAAGGGGTGGTGAGGAACGATTTGCGGGGCACTGAACCCATCCTTCTCATCCCACTCAATCTCCAGCATATGATCAGTAAAGAATTTTCCAAAGGGTAGAGAGTTGTCGAAGACAGGTTTGGGCTTCAGAGCCGTCGCTCGCTGTATCTGTAGGGATGTAGGTTACACATTCCAAGCCCAACCATGGCTTGTTACCTTGAGTAGAGAAGAATCGATAGAACTCCCACTTGTCGCAAAAGTCCTTGAGCCCCATGTTGGGCGGGGCATGACGACGTGAACGAAGGCAGTGAAGGCATGGTACTGAAAGCCCTTCAAACTCTTTACGGAAAGCATCCTGTCGCCAAATTTTCTATCAAAAAAAAAACATTTTTGCAGTATGTGCATCATAAACCTCCAAAGGCTTACCTGAATTTCCTGTCGGTGACAATTCGATCGACCAGCCCTCCAATAATCTACAACAACCATCAGCACAAGTTTTCACCAACACACTGAGAATGATCAAATTCGATCGAAAAAATTCTTTTCATTACAATATATCTCATTGAAGAGTACTACAAAGGCAACATGCCAATTTCCGAAATTTTGATTCAATTTCCTGATCCTGACATATTGGTACAAACTACAAAATCTTCTCACCATTAAAATGCACATTTTCGCCTTATCCCCACACACATACAAAGTGCAACCCCTCTCCAGATTCAAGGGAAACCTTTGCTCTCTACAAGCTTCTGCAGGCATCCAGGTCTTGCATCTAGAGCATCCATGTAATCTACCATGTTCTAATGCAAGAGCTGCATGGAGGAGGGCGGAGAAGACTAGCAGAGGCTCGGGCGAAGTTCCCAACTCCGCCCTGTTGCATTGTGCAAGGGGTACAGAAGGCTAGGATCACGAACGGGTACAGGTATCTTCCGGTCCAAAAGGGGGGTACGGGGGTACTCGGAGGATCTCAAACATTGGTGGTCTACCATCTTCTGCGGATCTCTTTGATTGATCGGGTGGAGGGGTGATATATGATACTCTAAGGGTAGTGAGAGACAAGGGGGGTGGGGTAGTTTGACGCTTGTCCTTTCCCGCTTGAGGGCGTCATGGAGCGAGGGAAGAAGGCTGGCAGGAGCCGCGGGGAGGTAGAGAGAGGAAGAGACGGTGCAACAGACGCTGGCGAGTGCGGGCATCCTTCCTGTCCAGATCTTCTGGAGGAGGAGCAGGCCGCGGTCTGCCCTCTGCTTCTGGAAGAAGCTGGGCATGCGCGGGGCAACGACGCTGTTGATGTTCATGGAGGGATCCGAGATGATGGGAGGGATAAGGACGTACGGGGAGGAAAAACAACTCAGTCTCGATTTGACTGTAGCTTCTCCTATCTTCTGCATTTTGCATCTGTTATTTTTTCAGGCAGCGGGACTCAAACTTCGAATTGTCGATACATTCTCAGCCATCTCAGACTTGCTCTGGATGGGATGAGCGGCGTTTTGTATTCTTTCGTTCTCAGTCTCGATAGCAGGCGAGCTCAACGGTCATGTGTTCAACCGCTCAGCCTCAACGTGTTCCTCTGCTCCATCGTGATGTTGAACATTTTCGCTACAACTCTTGCATCTACCAGCTCAATGTTCCCTGATACTAATGTTTCATGTTGCAATCGAGATGTTGTTCTGAATTCGAGAGCACCTTTGCTCTGGTCATATGTTTCGGAAGGATCTTGGTACTCACATTATTGTGGTTCAATGGATTTGTCTTATGTAATCTCTGGGATCCCTCCGCGCTACTACGTCACGCAATGGCGAGGTATTTTGATTTGCTCTTTGTCAAGTTCGATTCTGACTCTTGTTTGCCAGCGCGGGTCGGGGGAACGTTTCGTGGCCCAACTGATCTAGAGCGCAAGGCTAGAATCTTGAGGGCCCAGGATCCCCTATCAGCATCCAGCCTACCTACACTTTTGGGCGAATCAGTCAAATTTGACGGCTTCGATGATTTTCTCTTGCTGGATCAAGCTGCCTCCTTGGACAACCTGACGTCCAGCATGACTCTAGTGGTTGCCTTTGCTGTCGATGGGGAGTTGACTAAAAGCTCTTGGATCCTCAGCACAAACGACCTCGAGTCGCCCTACCCTGTCGGACCCAAGGGGTTCGGACTATACCTTGATGAGTTTGGTGCCCTACGGCCCATGGTTGGCTCTGAAAACCGATACATCTCCAAGTCTAAGATAGGGAGAGGTGTTCACATTGCGACTCTGAGTGCCAGCCCTAGCACCTATCAGATGTGGGTCAATTCTAGTCTCGAATTCTCCAAGTCAAACGGGGGCCCGCGCTCGATGAACAGCGAGGTCTCGGCAGCAGGAAATGAAATCTTGAACTCCGTAAAGACACTGGTCCTGGGGGCGGGAGCGACTGCTGGGCAGATGGATGAATTCTTCTCAGGTTCTCTGATGGAGGTTGTCGTCTACAACGAGGTGTTGAGCGACGTGGATCGTTATCACGCCGAAAGACTGCTCTGCCTGAGGTGGCAGGATTGCGAGCCAGCTCCCGGATACATAGTGTGGAAGATGAAGAATGACAGTCTGAGGCCCTACGGCGGGTTTTACAATGTCGAGATGCATCGGACGCAGGGCACGGATGGCAGAGTCGAGGTGCGAGTAGACCTTGCTAACTTACAGAACATGGCTGAGAACATTGATTTCTCCATCGATCCAAAGGCTCTGCTTGTATCATGGGAACATGGAGACTCATCTCCAAAGTTTCTTCCCATTCTTATCAAGGAAAAAATCACTGCTCCGATTTCGAAAAGTATGTCACTGTCAATGACGGTAGTCTGCAGTACCTTTGCCGGGGTCCAGTCTACTACGGACAAGTTTGAACTCACGTTAGATCCAGGCCCAAACTTGACTTGGACCTCAGCTGCTCCTCTGCAGGGAAACTTTACCGGAGGAGCTGTGATTGAGTTTCACGTCGTGGGGTCAGGATTACAACACTTCAATTATTCATGTAGATTTTTGCAGACTTCTACAGACACTCAACTGTACAGCACGTGTATGCAGACCATTCCTGCAGAGCTGGTGTCTTTGAATGTAGTGCAATGCGTAGCACCGTATTGGAGGTGTGAAGGCAGTGTGGTCAAGCTCGGGCTGCTGAGAAATGGACAGATAGGCGATGAAAACTGTACTCGGTCGATCCCAGAGGCACAGGCACCTGTCGAGAGGGTTTTGCGATCGATCATCCCATCTTTCCAAGAATCTCAAGCCGTGTACTACAACTTTGTGTACAGATGCAGCGTTCCTCCATGGGTTCCCGTGTATGTTGAGAGCCAGGCCGTGAACAGAAACTTTCTCATCGTCGAGCCTGTCCCTGTCTACGTACAACCAAACAACGCTCCTGCGCTGGGGGGTGTCAATATCACCATCATAGGATCTCGTTTCGGCTTGGAGGATTCATCTCCTATCATCGCTGTAGGCGACCAGCCTTGCGCAACAACCGAATGGACGTCAGTCAGCAGCATACTTTGTCAACTTCGGCCAGGGGTTGACAGCGACTTGGATGTTAAATGGATGGTTGCGCAAGACGATGACAATCTAGTTCGAGTGGCTCGGTCGACACTGTCCGGGTCTTTCTCTTATGATTTACCTCAAATCTCGCAGATCACTCCTTTCCTTCTAGACCAGTCTTCGGGGAGCGAAGTTGTGACCCTGCTCGGGATCAACTTTGGAGACATTGACAGGAAGCCGACGGTGCGCTTCGAAAAATCTCAATGTGGATCAGTTCAGTGGACTTCGGACAGCAGCATTACTTGCCAACCGCTCCAGGGGTTTGGCGGAGTCAACCTGATCAATTTGAATTTCAGCAAAACAAATGTCAACCTGACTTGGTCCCCGGGTTTTGTCATCTTCGGTTTCTTACCATGCGTAGCTGTGCATGGACTGGAGCCCCTCGGAAACTCAAGTTTGCCTCTCCTGAGTGAAGGGAACGAAGACATTGCCATCTTCGGTAGCAACTTTCCTGACGTGAACCAGTCGGGAGACTTTTGGCTTCAAATCGGCAACTCAGTTGCAGAGATCACTCAGTACGAATCCTCTAGCAGCTTGCGCGTCAGGAGCCCAGCCGGGGCCGGTAAAGACCTTCCAGTGATCTTCGTGAACAACGGATTGTGGTCGAGCACGAATGTCACAGTCTCCTTCAAGGCTCCTAACATCACCTCCGTCAAACCGTCCAATGCTCCTGCTCATGTTGCTGATGCATGGATTACAATATTCGGATCCAACTTCGGCCCGGCGGAAGAAATCTCTGGACCCTACGGGATGGGAGCTATCAACGATCCTCACCCCAGGAACGAGACTTGTCCGATCCTTATTTCACCAACTGTCACGACCGAGAACCTGGGTCAGTCGATCACCATCGGCTCGACCTCTTGCTCGAGCGTCCACCATGTTTCATCCACTTCGTTGATTTGCAGATTGTCGAATGGGACAGGCTCCAACCTCAAATTGACCCTTGAGCTCAACGGATATCAGGCTGACTATCACACGTTTCAGTATGACTATCCAGAGTTGACTATGATATCGCCAGCGAATGTCCCTCCTTCCAATGACGTCGTCTCAGTCCTGACTGTCTATGGCAAGAACTTCGGAGTCGAGCCATGCTCGGGAACCTGTTCACTTAATATCTCGATCGAGACGAGTTGCGGCGAGACCACTTGGATATCTGATTCATCGTTGCTCTGCAAGGGACCCTTCGTATCTAGTACCAACTCCACCTTCATACAGGGAGTAGGGTCTCACAGGGTACAAGGAGAGGCCAAGTTCTCTGATGGGGCAGCGGAAGTTGTTTCTAACATCTCCTTTCACTTCGACGCTCCAGTCCTCACCAGCCTTTCACCCTACGAGGTACCGTCCACCGGCGTTCAGTTCGTCTCGTTTCTGGGATCAAACTTCGGCCTTGAAGACTTCTCCCCGGTTGCTCGCATTGGATCCTGCGCCTGCACCTCCACCGAGTTCGTCAGTGACAGCTCGGTCAAGTGCAAGATGCCCCCGTTCTCCTTGTTCATGCACGAGTTCAACAACGCGAGCGTGGAGGTGGGTGGGGCAGTGAGCAGCAGCACACTGAGGCTCAGGTACCTCTCTAGACCCGTCATCGAGTTTGTGAGGCCCTCCAATTCTCCGAGCACGGGAAAGAAAGACGTCACAATCTTGGGTTTCAACTTGGGTATCGAAACCGACACTGTCGTAGCCAAGATAGCACAGGCCTCCTGTTTACAGACGGTGTGGCTGTCGACTACTTCGCTGGCCTGCTCCACTCCTCCTGGACTAGGAAGAGCAGAATCTGTGGAAGTGATCATTCAGTCCAAGATGGCTACGATCTCTTTGGAGCGAGCAGGCGCTTTCTCCTACGATTATCCTTACTTAAACTGGACGTCATTGGGCAATGCAGCTCCGAAGGGAGGGCAGGTTGTCCACATTCGTGGTGGAAACTT